GGCATAGCTTTCAGAATCACAGCAACTCACAAGCCGCCACAGTATGACAAACTGACAAACGAGTGTTGGAGAGATGGAGGAGTGGACATGGGAAACTCAGAAAGGAAGTGGGATGTGTGATATGCATTGAGGGACTGAAATCAGTGACATGAAACAAAATGTGTATCAATTATTGAATGAAACTGACTGGCTCTGTAAACTGTCACCCAATTCACAATTCAAAGTATAAACCAGAGAGTTCTCGTAGTCTTGGTTTTGTTTTTGAAACTTGTTGTGAGTCGATGAAGGTTTATAGAGCAGATCATCAGTTTTCCATCTCAATTGGAACTGGGATTGCAATCTCTTCCATGTGACAAGTTACCTCACTTCCTCCCTGTGGTTCCTGTTTCCAGTCACCCTACTTCCCAGTGCCTCTGCACCTTGTCCCAGGGATATGCTGCCTTTTTGATCATGAATGATTGCTCGTTCCATGGTGAGCAGGTGTCCTCCCTATCTATATACATGTTTACTGCTTGGCTGAAGATGGGGCCATGGGGATGTGTTCCATTCCAGACCTGAAGGGTGGTCAAGGGCTATAGCCTTGCGTTCCTCCAGTCTTTCTGACCAGTTAGTTCTTGTCTTTTTTATAATTTTGAGTTTTGTTCCACATTGGAGAGAGACCCTAGTTTTTGCATGCTGCTTCATGTTGTCTCTTTCCTTAGGTTAAAGAGATCAAGTGGCATGAGCAGCCTTCTGGGGAAAATTGGAGCCAAGAAGCAGAAAATGAGCACCCTCGAAAAGTCCAAACTGGACTGGGAGAGCTTCAAGGAGGAAGAGGGGATTGGAGAAGAACTGGCCATCCATAATCGAGGGAAGGAGGGGTAAGAAGATGAGTCCCAATCACTATGAAGCCGTTTGTTACAAACAACTCAATTTAAGTAATAGGAGCTTTTCTTGGAGAGATGAAAACTGAGTTTGCTCACAGAGATCTGTGGGGCAGGCAGGTCCTGTTGGTGGAAGCCCCTGAGATGAAGGGAAGGAGGGGCTGCGGTAGCACTTCAGCTGAGCTCTGAGTTGCCTTTCTGTTCACTTGCTGGGCTGGGGCTACTTCAGCCTTGGCCTGACCTGAATTGTTTGGCTCTTGCTTCCAAACTACAGGCATCTGGGTGCCCAGCTGTTGTCACATTACCATGGAAATATTTTTGTTCATGTGACAGTGGCCCACGGTGAGGCTTCCCCCTTCACTAACAAACCTGTGTGACAGGTCAGGCCCTAAAACAGCATGACAGGCCATCACTTGAACCAGCTTCCTCTTCACTTTGAAAAACAAAGAGAATGTCCATAAGTTATATATTCAAATTATAAAGGGTCCCTTCATGTCTTTCTGGTGATTAAAGAAAAAATCCAGAAAGAAGTGATGTTCATTTCAGTGAGTTCTAGGTGACTCAGAAGGCACTAAGGAGACAGGTTTCTGCTGCCATGCTTCCGTGGCTCCAGGTCCACAGCCCCATCACCACAGTGGAAGGAAGTTGTGAGTGGTCCCCTCACCAGTAAGCTTTCCTCAGGCAGCTTGCTGGCTCAGCTTCTTCACCAGTAAAATTGGGACAGCGATACCAGCCCCCCTTCACTGAATGGCTGTGAGGATTTCATAAAATAATACTGTAAGATTTTTCTACAATCATTTTGAAGCCCCCTGGTATGTAAACCTGTATATGTATACGTGTGAAATTCATATAGAACACTTCGCAGAGTGACATGAAGTGGCAGATATCATCCATCTGACCAATGAGCTAAGGTATAATGAAGAGGTTAGTTATATGGTTGGGTGTCATGTTTCTAAATTGGGCTTCACAATAATCCAGTGGCCTCAGCAGCTGACCTGCAGATTCAGGAAGAAGTTACAGTGACTCTATGAACTTGTTTGGCTACCAGACTTCTAGGTCAGTCTGTCAAAGACAGAATGCCACAAGACAGTGGCCTTCATTGGGCCATCCTCATGGTTCCTGAACACCTGAGTAGGCCCTGGCAGAGGTGCAGGCAGGGTAATCCCTGGTGTCTTCTAGAGCAGTCCCCTGATTGGTGTGGGCTGCTTTCAGGGTCTGCACTGCGCCCAGCTCCTTCCTCTACTTGAAGAAGCTGTGGTAATGCAGCACTTCCTCCCATGAGCCGCTTTTGCACCGTGGACAGCCTTCATTGCTGCTCTGAGTATTCATTATATGGGTTGGACAACATTTACTCTGGTCCAGTTAATAGAGGTCTTGTAAAAGCCAGAAGTGGTGCTGTTAAAGATAAGGGAGGGTTACTAAAGTGAAGACTGGAAGAGAAAACAAGATTAGACAGGACATCTGCCCAGTGAGGATCTCTTCAGGCAATGGAAAGTTGCCTAACTGGGTTAGGGAGCAACTGATAGAATGCACTGCTCATTCTCTCCTTTTTCCTCCTTGCCGGAGACATCTTCCCCCTGGCTAGATGTTTCCTTGGTTTCCAGTGCTCTTCCCAGGACTCCTGTGCCCTGCCTCCCACTCTTCTCCCCTCCACTCACTCCCCTCACCTTGCTCCTGCAGACAGATTAGAGACACCCAACACCTAGTCCAAGAAGAGGCCTGGGACGCTGGTTCTCACCCTGGCTCTGAATGAGAATCACCTGGGGAGATGTTCTAAAGTTCAGATGGCAAGCCATCCATCCCTGGGTGAATCTGCTGAATCAGGAGTCTTGAAAGATGGGTCACAGATCCTTATGTCAGTTCATATTCCGCAGGGGATTCTAATTTAGAGCCAGGGTTTACAATCGGGACCAGACTTCTGGAGGAGGGAGTAGGACAACCTGCTGGTAAAGAGCTGATATCAAAACAGGTGATTCTAAGAAGGCCCAGGAGATCTTTGTTGGGAAGTGTGTCCGGTACCACATGTCACACAAGGAGCAAACCTAGGAAACCTGCTTGGGCAGAGGCAAGCCAGGCCCCCGAGTCCTCTTACACAGATGCCAAGAAGGGCCAAAGGTATCACCTGGGGAATCCCAAGGAGCACGCCCCAAGAACAAAAGTGACCTTCGCTGATATTTAAGAAGAAGGTAAAACGTCCTCTGCTCACTACTGACCCTGCTGTCTAGAGCTTCGCTGGGAAGCTAGATGCCTCCTTCCTTTTAGACCCCCTCATGCATCTCTGCCACTCACACAGCCCTTTTCCTCGTGGTGGCAAGCGCTGCTTGAAGGTATCTCTTCCCTGTCTACCTGCCTGGACTGTGTTCTTCAACTTGGCATATCCCATAGCTGAGCCCTGAATTTCTTCTCATCACATTCTAGCCCCTCGGAAGGCTCAGTAGTCCCATGACTCAAGTAACATTTTCTGCTGAGGACTCAAAATAAAAAAATCCCTCGCCCACCTTTTCCACTGAGTTCCAGATTCCCATATTCAGCTATCGCTGGCCGACCATTCCACACATCAGAGTTCTCATCCAAAATCCCTGCTTTCTCTCCATGAATGGATGCCTCCCTCCCATCTTTGGGGTACGGCATTATCAGCACACTATTGGGGAACAACCAAGGCGTCATCCTGTTTTCACTCAGCTCCAGCAAGTCTCGTTGGTGATTCCTTCACAAAGCATCTCCCTCCATCACATCTGAACAACTCCGCCCCTACTGCTCACAAGCAGCCCCCACCACCTGTTGCCAAGATTCTTAAAAGCTCCCCAGCTTCTCCTGTTTGTCTTCCTTGAATCCCCTCTCCTTCCTGTTGTTGTTAGGTGCTGTCAGGGTGACACCAAGTCACAGCGACTCTGTGCACAACAAAACGAAACACTGCCCCGCCCTGTACTTTCCTCACAACTGTTGTTAAGCTTGAGCCCATTATTGCTACCACTGGGTCACTACAGCTCACTGGGGGTCTTCCTCTTGTTTGCTGACCTTCCACTTTACCAAACATGATGTTCCTCTCCAGGGACTGATCTTTTTTGACAACATGTCCAAGGTACAAGAGATGAAACCACAATCATAGCTTATAAATAGAACCTATTCCTTGCGTCTCCTCTGCTGAAAGTCCTCCGGTAACAATTAAAAGAAAGCTGAGCTCCTTGCCCTGGTCTCCCAGTCCTCCGTGAGCCTGGCTCTGCCTACTGCCTACCCCCTTCATCCTGCTCACAGCACCTGCCTCCACCCAGCTCTGACTCCTCCTCAGACCGGCTTAGGACAGGCTCCTTCCTGTTTGTCAGCCAGAGCTCAGCTCCCGTGACACCCCACACACACACACACACACACACACCTGCCCCCAACTTCTCAGCTGTCTAGGGTAGCTCAGCTCCAGGTAACCTTCCCAGTCTCCTCACCAGGTTTCATTTGCTCCCTGCCCTTACGGTCCTCTGAGGCAGGTTGCACCTTTTGTTATAAGTTAGGCCCTTTTAGGCGGGTCTCATTTCATTGCTCTGTGGTCAGCACCTAGCCCAGGGCAGGTGCCCAGCAAATGAACCATGGTAGCATCATCTAAATGCCCAGCCTACTAACTTCCAGACAGCTCTGCCTAGTAGGGCTGGAATTTACTGCCCCAAAAAGAAAGGTGTCCTCCCAGACACCATTTTCCATCACAAAGCTAGTGGAAATACTGGACCCTCCAGTGGTCTTCTGTGTGGGGAAAACATGCTGCTATTTCTCTTGTTCCCAGGGCACAGACGCTAGTCAGATGTGTGGCATTGCCTCCCCGTCCAGCACTGCAACCCAATCGTAGACCCTTTCTCATCAGCAGGCCACCTTCCGCTGAGAACCCAATGCATAGACAATAAGGGAAGTGAAGGCTGCAAGCGTGAGAGCCTTACCCACTGCTCTCCATCCAGTTGAAGGTCATGAAGCTCTATGATTGGAAACCAGGTCTTTCTGTGGTTTGGAGAGGCATGAAGGGGGGGACCAGAGAAAATAATTTTCTGTCTCCGAAAAAAATCTATCTCCAAGAGTGTGGAAGTGATGGGGAAGGAGGCAGTGGAGGAGAAAATGATAGTCACTGCCCTTCAGCTAGAAGACCACAAGGGGGTGGGCAGGCAGGTCAGTGCAGCATGGGGCAGATTGGTTCTTTCAGTTGCATTGTCACAGCCAGAAAGGACTTGTCATTACATCTCATTGAGCAGAGCTGTGTTCGCACTACAGGGTACTGCCATTGTCCACGGCTTTGCCAGTGTTACAGACTGAGGGTTCCTCACTTTTTGCTCCTGTCTGTTCTGCAGGGAACCCTTCCTCAGATATCTACACAGTGGCTCTGCTTGAAGCTGAGAGTCGGGAACAGCTGAGCCCCTGTGTCCTCAGTTGGATATGCCCCTTCTCTGCACGCCTCTCATGGGCACTCGGCTACAAAGCAGCCTTGTGACTGAGCGTTAGGCCCCTCTTTCCCTCAGAGTCTGGCCTCACGGAGGGTGGGAATCCCAGACAGTAAGGACTGGCATATTCCCTGGTAGCATTTTCTCCTTTAAACGTGTCCTCTCGTCCCTTCTTTCATTTCTCTGCCCTCCTCACTGACCTCCATCAGGAACATTGGGGACAGAAAAGTAATTTAGGTTAGAAAAGCAGAAAGATGTCAGCCTATTGTGTCTAACCTCGTTTTGAAAGGAGGAGCTAGATAGACAGTCCCTTAGGTTCTTGGTACTATTCCCTAGAAGCACAGCTACGTCTGGACTGGGTCACAGAAGGCAGTCGTAGCAGGGAGGGATGGGATGGTCCCTGTGGGCTGGGCAGAATCAGACTGGGCCCCTGGAGGCCTGGGCCTAGACCAGCATAGCTCCAGGATGGGAAAGGAGTGAGAGCTATCCCCATTTCCCCTACCCCTCATTCCTACTACCCTTGTCAGCAGGCAGTTCCTCTGCTCCGGGATCCTAACATACTTGGTTCAAACAAGTCGTGCATTC